CAGTGGAAATAGCAATTCCTTTTAAAATGTTCCATAAATGGGTCTGGAGAGATGGCTCAGAGGTTAAGAGCACCAGCTATTCCAGAGGTCCTGAGTTCAATTCCCAGCAACCACATGGTGGCTCACAACCATCCGTTATGAGATCTGGTGCCCTCTTCTGGTGTGCAGATATACATGGAAGCAGAATGCTGTATACATAATAAATAAATAAAATCTTTTTTAAAAACAGTTCCATAAATGATCCGAGTCCTCTTAAAAATTCAAGTTTTGAAATTATGGTGGCCTTATAAATTTTTGTCTTAAATTATAGCTCAGAAATATAAATATATACATGATAACCTTCCAGGTCATATCAAAACATTTCTTAACAACGTCTTGTCTTTCTAATGCCTACAGCGTTTGCAATTGCATGTATGTTCCATTGTTTAACTATGCAGTCACTATTTGTAGGTATATATGTTGCTTCTAGTTTTTGACATTACAGATTAAGGGCATTAGTGAAACTCTTTAGATGCTAATGGACGTATTTGTGAGGAATTTTTAGTCAAATGCTATTTTCAGTTTTCATCTTGTTAACTGCTGTCAAAATTGCTCTTCATTACGTTGCTGCTACCTGTGTGTGAATGCCCATTTATAATTCCTTTATCAAAAGTGTTATGATCTTTATACTGAAGGATCATCCTAATTATAGAAATTATATTTAATTTTTACCTCAATATTTCGCTATTCTTATGTGATCTTTTCAATAACATTTTGGTTTAATTAGACTTCTTAATTACTTGTTTTTCTTTTGAGCTTATTTATGCATAAAATATTTCTTTTTGTTGTTGGAAATATTGCTTGTGCAAGTTGCATTTGTTTATCAATTTTAAAATTCTGTGTGGTCAGATCTATATTCCTTTCCTCTGTGGCTACTGAATTTCCCGGAAGGGTTTTCCCACCATATATTATTGTATTTTCTCTGGAGTTTATCCATAGGTCTCTGTTCCATGTGAAACTTAGACGCATATATGGGATGCAATAGAGAATTAACTTTTTAAGCCTCTGGGTGGTAGGTTTGTAAGACCTGTTTATGATCTTTTTATATTATCTAGTCCTGAATTTCTACAAGTGGAAATTTCTATTTTTTAAATGGAAAATGTTCTTCAAAGTAAAGAGACATATTTTTACATTTTACTGTCTAGTACAGGAGAAAGGAAGGCATAGGGATACATGAAAAAGAGTGTTATTTTTAAATTTTATAGAGCTGAGAAAATGTACAAATATAGAAGTGTTAAAACTTTTCATCTGTTCATACTGTCTGTCTCCGTTTTACTTGAGGAAGCGTCAGTTTTCCACTTTTCAGTTGCTGGTTAGAATACACTCTTTTAAGTACAGGAGCATGTTTGCTCTCCTATCTGGAACGGCCAGGAGAGGATGCATGTGAGGTGCCCTTATGGTGAAAGATCTTCTCTCAATTGCTGGGGAAACACGAAGAATTTTAGGAAACATTCTTTGTATGCAGAAAACTCTTTTCACAAGGAGTGGTGAAGGCCTATGTTGCCCCTTGCTGCTAGCTAATTAGCCATAGTTGTAGTCACTTTCACAAGCAGGAAGACAGCTAAGGACACCAGGAAATACTGATAGTGCACTGCAATGCATGAATGAACCATTTGTTGCTTATGTAAAAGTTTGCTACTGTCCAGCATCAGCAAAGTTTGAGGTCTTTAGCCAGGAAAAGATCTTTCTATAACTCCATTATGCTCTGTTGTTAAAGTTGTAGTCAATGAGGCCAGGAAGTTCTTTTGAAGTTCAAAGGAGCGTAACATTCACAGCATAATATTCATGCAAATATGGGACAAATGGGCTGACAAGTTTGCCCCCTTTGGCAGCTCTAACGTAGGTAATGAAGTATTGATCAAAGTGAACTTGAAGAACTGAGTTGTGAAGAATATTTCATTATATGTTTCTAATGAACCAGACTATACTAAGTCTGGCAGAGTTTCTGGAGACAAAAATGTGTCACATGGATCCATTCCTGTTCTATAAAAGTAAACTGGATCTCTGAGAGACCAGATTCTCACTCATTTTTCTCCTCCAAGCTAAAGCGTACAAACATTTGTGTTGATCTTAAATAAAGTGGGACTTTAGAATTCTCAGGAAAGGCAAGCCATCAGCGTAGTAAGAGAAGGAAGAAGATTAGCAAGTTGGAGATATACAATTTGTATCTCTGGCGAAAGCCAGAAAGAGAAGCACAAGTTTTCTAGGACCACCACAACATTTCACACAATTATTAAATATTAAGAAGAAGCAATGGAGAGAGTATGCTTATTAAAATTCATGTAGATGGAAGGCAAAGAAAGAAAGGGTAAGTTTGTCAGGAATGGTACATGTGTCTGTAATTTTAGCACGAGGGAGGCTGGGGTAAAGTGGGTTAAAGCTAACCTGGGCTAACATAGTGAGCACTTGCTTAACCGTCAGTTACACAGCTTAATTTTTTTCAAAGTAAATTCTGAATTTTTTTTTAAATATGGGAGCATGGTCACTTTGGGATTAGCCTAGATTCAACTCTTCATTTTATGGCTGTCTTACATACTTGGGGAAAATTACTGTAGAGATCTTTAGTTTTCCTATCAACATAATGGAAAAATAGCGATCCCCATTGGATTATCTTTTTCCAATTTCTGTGAGACAATACCTGAGGGAAGAGGCAAGATTAGGGAAGGAAGCCTTTACTTGGGCTCACAGTTGGGTAGGGTCTATCCTGGCAAGGAGAGTACGGCTGCAGGAATGAGAGGCAGTTGGTCATATTGTATCTGTGGTCTGCAAGTACAGCGAGATGAACGCTGCTACTCAGCACCCTTTCTCCTGTTCAGTCAGATAGGGACTGGAGCCTATGGAATGATGCTGCTCTTAGTTAGGATAGTTCTTCCCAAGTCAGTTAAACTAATCTAAAAACACTCATCACAGGTATTCCCAGAGATTGGTTTCCATAATATTTCTAAATCCCATCAAGCTGATGATCAAGATCAACCATCAGGGCCACCAGAATCATTTGCATATTGGTTGGAACAAGATTAGCTTTTAATAAATGGTACCCATTGCAGAAACATTTTTAAAAGCCGAATTATGTGGCCCGCTAAATTTTGAGATGGAAATTGAAACAAAATAGGATCAACTGACTTGGTG